GATAGCATTATTTCATTTCAGGAGATTATTCTGAGAGAATGAGTCATTCTGCAGTGTATTAGGAATACAGATTTGCTAGTTGCAGAATGTCAGATACCATCAACCTGACTGTCCAGCTCTTGGTATGTCTACACTGGAACCAGACGCGCCAATTCAGCCTGAGAAGATATTCCAGTGCAAGCTCTGATCCACCTAGTGTGCTAAAAAGAACAGCATAACCATAGCCACAGGAATGATGAAACAGATTAGCAGTCCCATATCGAGGGTCTCAGAAGTGATCATACAGGTGGCTTGTTCATCCCACTGTCTGCATTGCTGTTTTTAACCCTACTGCTATCACAGCTAGAGGGTGTATGTGTACCTATGCTGAAAACAGCACCGCTGGCTCCAGTGAAGCCAGTCTCACAATCCCTCCAGTTACCCAGAGCTCAGTGTTATCCTGAGCAAAATCATGGCTCCAATTTGTTATATTAAAATTAGCCAAAAGACACCCAGGACTTCTAGGTAACCTAAGAAAAAAGTATCCCCAACAATAAGCAGTATGCAGGAGAAATGGAAGAGGGCATTTCCCAAAAAGAGTTACTGGATAGCTGTGTGGAGTCCAGTCCTTGGAGCAGCAGACTAGTAGACAGAACTCTTCAATTCTATTCTCAACTCTGCCACTATCTCTGAGTCCCTCTATTTACAATGCTCACTGGGTAAATCACTGAGTCCCTCTGTACTCCAGTTTCCCCATCTGTGAAGTTTGCTTGATATTCCTGGGGCTGTCCTGAGGCTTCATTAATTCTTGTGAATACAGCTCAAAGTTATAGAAGTGGGACGTTTAAGTATTATGGTATCATGCTAATATGGCTCCTGAACCACTGAGGTCTAAGTCACTGAATTAAGCCATTTACTGTGACTACAAACAACATATACAATGGCATTAGGCCAGAGGTATACTCACAGGGCCCATAGCTGACTTGAAGATTAACCAAAATGTCACATGATTGATAATGACCATTATGTTTCTCAACTTTCACATTTTGGCAGATGAACAAGAGTTTATATCAATTTCATTGCAATGTTCAGCCTCTTTCGCTCGTCTCAACCTACTACTCTTTTCCCCCAAGGTTCCTCTGCATTGGTCCCACAGAAACAATTGGCAGCTAAATTTTGATGGACCTGGCTTTATATGGTAATGATCACTTGGACTGCTGTTTAAATTCTTGGCAAATCACCTCATATAAGCTATGTACTTGAAGGAAAAAGTTGGCCCATACATAGTTTTTAATTAAATGCTTGTCTAATGTTATTAAACTGCATATCATTGGCATATAAATGACTGCTACAGAGTGAATCATTTTAGATTAAATGATTGCCTATAGAATTAATTGAACCTAGCTCTTCAAATTGAAATAATTTGTAGTGTATAGGCTTTAAAGACGAAATACAGAGTACTGTCAGATGAAAGGAAACCATTGAAAGAGAAATTTTGTACTCGATATTGTTTGGAACAATATAAAAAGGAAAAGGTGAAGAAAAACGCAGATATATTTCATTAACTACTGACCTAGTTCTTAAATTCTCAGCATTTCTAGTCTACTACAGCTACATTCACAATTACGATGTCAAATGACATATCCATTTTCTTTGTAGAAATAACAAGATAGGAAAAGTGGCCATTAAGGTCATATTTAGGGTAGAAAATGGTGTATGTGTAGCCAACATTACCTGTCGTAGTAATGGACCCCGCCTGACTAACTACACCTGTAAGATCTGATTTTTGCTTACCTCCAAACACCACGAAATCTAACAACTATTTATAAATACGGAAACCAGTTGCAACTCCATCTTGGAAGTACATTATTGATCTTTAGACTTGGGGCTATCAAAGCAACTAATGCATGTCCAATTTGCTATTATTCTACTGTATAGTAAAAAATAGTAAAAATGCCAACAAAAGACTCATATGCACACGCTATCTACGCCGACACAATTTTCTACATTGAGCTTCATCTACCTACATTACATCTTCAAATGCAAAAGTTGAAGGCAGTCAATTTACAGCTATTCTAAGTCCAAAATAGAGACAACTTTCTTTAAAGAGGATATATAAGCAAGTTTTCCCCTCAATATAGTTAGTCTGAAGTTTCCAGATTCAAATCTTTAACTGAAGATTAGGAATAATCACTTGATGCTATCTGCTAATGTCACGGTCTAAAAAATTTGCTTCAACTTCATTTGTGTCTAAATCTAAGGTATCTATTACTAAAAAAAGAATCAATCAACTAAAGAATCTAGACAGATTAAAAATCATTTACACATGGCTACAATCTACTGCAAGAAAAGGTGGAATACATTTCTTCACAGTTGTAAATTGATACCTATTAAAATACCTTTCACTCATACTAAATACTTGTTAAAATGTGTTTTGATCAAGGCATTAGAAAAATTATAAAATCTTTTCCTATTTTCATAAAAATTGAAAACTAACAAGATTCTGAAATTAACTTCCTATATTAAAAAACCTTGACTTATCAGTATTCATGTGGGTGCATAAATATTTGTGAATCATCACATGCTTCAGCTGAAAATGTTGTTCTTCATTTAGTTCTGCCAAACTGAATTTATTTATTTCCCACCTCTCACAAGAACATTTAATGATAAAAGTAAGGCAACTGGTAGAAGAGTGAAGAGCATATCCTGTCTCATGAGAGTAATTATCTCAGGGTAGCTGCTGTGTAACGCACGTCTTTTCAAAATCTTCTTTGTTTTCCAAGAGCCACCAATTTATTGTTTTAGGATAGATACTTAAGCTCTAAAATGGTTTAATCTGTGAAACAGAAGTTTTCACAGACATATCCTCTCTCTGTGCACATAATAAATGCTGCTACTCTATGTGCAGTACAACAGATTTGAAGGCATTCAGTTGGTGGGAGAAGGAGGCTGGTTCCACGGAGATAAAATTTTTTGGTCCCTAACACAGAATAAAAAATTGACGAGAGGTATTACCACACACTACAAATAATTAAGCCACCACAAAATAACTAGATGCTGCTCTGATTAATGTTTGTTATCTGCTCATAGAAAAAATGCTGATAAAATAAAAGTAACAAGAAATGCAAACAGTACTATAAATATGCTTTATAATACGCTAGTGAAGACATGATTGTTGCCTTTCAGAAAAGGCAATCCATGCCACACCTAATCAGCACCACTTTCATCATTCTTCAACTAAATCACATCTTTAGTTTCTTCCTCTATCTTTCAGGAGGAGGAGGAGCAGAAGGAATTATAGAGTCTATGTCTTTAGACATGACAAACTGTATAGCCCACTGAATAAAAAGCCAGTGCTGCTAGAGTCCTTGGTTCTTGAATAATTTGTACCCTTACCTCATCAATTCAAATGTGTTAGAAGATCAGCAAACCAAGTAATTCTTGCTATAAAAAGGGACTTGTTAACCTTGTTCAAGGTTTCACTAAGACTTGATTCTAAATATCCAAGTTTTCTGCATTTGACTGTAAATTAAACTTTATCCTTAACTGTACAAGGCACTGAAGAGCAGCTCTCCTTTTATGGGAGAAAAAATAATTATTTGACTAGTATAAAAGAGCACAGTGCACCTACTGCGATTTCATTTGCATTTTTTCAAAATGAGCAGTTAATTTCACAGAAACCACCATACCTACCTACATGTGCCTTAATATAAACAGTAAAGTGTACACTTTCTAGATAATTATAACACACCACAATGATAACCAAATTAGTAATGGTTCTTCTCCTTCAGCCCTTCAGAGAAAATACAACATTGTTGTCAGGCTTCCACTGCAACCTATTCTTATTACTACACTTTTTGCATCTCTTCCCTCCTTCTAAACAGTATGCTTAGTGTATCTGTACAAAATTCTTATCAGCAGCCCCCTGGAGACAAGATCTATCTCGGAAGTAACCACAGTATAAATGGTCTCGGACTAAATGCGGAACTTGAGCTCAGGTTCCTAGCAACTAAAGACATGCACACTGTCTTCCTCACCCAGGCCAACAGACACATCTTCCTCTACCTCTTCATTTAGTTGAAGGCTGCCAAAGGAGTACTTATGTCTAGGTATAGGGGAGGAACTCAGCACTATGGGATTGCCATACACAAGAGGGTGCGTAAATGGGTTAACTATTTCTGAGTCTGAATCACTAGACTCTGTTCCACTGCTGGTGGAGCCCTCCATCATGTGGATGGCAGACCTATGATCCATCATGCCACTGGCATATAATGACTGCATGCCTGGGCTTTGCTTTGACTGTCCGGTAGCTGACACCCCATTGGCCATCATTTTGCCTTCTGAAGGAACTGTTTTAACAAGCCCCCCTTTACAATGTCTCTCTGATCTGTATTCCTGACCCGGCGTCGAGGACACCTGGCTCAGGATAAATGGGTCTGTTTCTGACTTATTACGGACATTTTGGATTTTCTGCAAATGAGGCCTTCGCAAGCCTGGAGAACATTTGCTGTATCCAGGACAGCTACAGGGATGAGTATCTTCCTCCTCACTCCTAGCCCGGCACTCATAGCCATTTTCTGAGACATAGCCCTGAGAGCCAGTTCTATTCAAACTCATGTTAGGACTTGACCCTTTGCTACTGGGTGGCAAGGGAGTGGCCAATGGACTACGGCTGTCAGGGCCCCTAAACAGTTCATCAACCAGTGAGCTGTGCCGTAGCATTCTGGTGCTCCCACCAACATAGAAGGACATACTAGCTGGGTTGTCATCAATAGACTCTTCAGTGATATGTTGGGAAGTCTTTAGAGAGTCTGAGGAATCCCTGTATCTAGTCCTATTACGATTTTCATCTCTACAGAGAATATAGGCACCACTGGTCAAATCACCCTCATAATTGTCATTTGTTTGGGAATGGGACCAGGTTATTTGTCCTCTGAGAAGGTCATACTCGCTATCTACGTCACTGCAGTCAATGAAAGGAATTGAGGTGCTGCTGCCACAAGCAGCCCTGGATGCTGGACCTGTGCTTGGTTGTTGCGACTGAGATCTATTCTGCTGTGTCCTATCCTTAGAGACCTCCTCTTCTTCCTCCATTGTCGCCATCACCACTCCATCCACCTTCCCACCTTCCTTAGGGCTCTTCTTCAGGGAAGGGCTCTTGCGCTGTCCAATATCTTCCATTGAAGCTTTCAGTTCCTTCCCTTGTCGGCAGCTCTGCACCACTGGGGAATCAGCATTATCTCCAAATGTAAAGCTACAGCTCTGGGAAGAGAAAGACAGAAGAGAGGAGAAAAGAGAGGAGATCGTTAAGAAGGAAAAATATTTCAGTGTCTGCTCATGACGGAGCGCTGGAATTATGCCCTATTAACTTATAGTTGCCATGCACGAGTCTACTGACAACAGAGCTAGTACAGAAGCTTCTGAGCATGATGGTGGACCAGGAAAGAAAAACGTAAGAACGGCCATACTGGGTCAGACCAAACGACCACTTAGCTCAGTATCCTGTCTTCCAACAGTGGCCAATGCCAGCTGCCCCAGAATGAACGAACAGAACAGGTAATCATCAAGTGATTCCCTCCCGTTTCACTCATTCATAGCATCTGACAAACAAATGTTAGGGACACCATTCCTACCAATCCTGGCTAATAGCCATTGATGGACCTAACCTCCATGAATGTATCTAGTTTTCTTTAACCCTGTTGAAGTTCTGGTCTTCACAATGTCATCTGGCATGGAGTTCCACAGGTTGACGGTGCATTGTGCAAAGTATTGTGTGAACACAAGCTAAGCATTGGAGAAAAAGGAAATAAACATGCAGACATTTTTAACCAGCGTTGGACAAACACCGATGTGCGTGCACTGCTTACTGAAGCGAGAACTGCAAGGGAGATGAATATAAAAAAATGCACATTCAGTGCAGCCCAACTGCATACAAGAATAAAATTGTCAGCATAGGTTCGTGGGCAACTACACATTCAGCTGGGGGAGTAGCCCTAGCCACAGGACTGTCTTCACTTCATGCAGGTGTGTCAATCCACACACAGTGCTCTGCTTCCCCTGTCTGATCTTGTGTTAAAAATATTAAGTTTAACTTTTGAATGGATTACAAATTGTAGCTTTCCAGAGACTATTGAAAGAGCTGGCAATTATGGCATGATTCTATAGGTTCCAAAGGTTGTTCAGGCAAATGTCTGTGGGCCACTTTAAATATATTAACCAGGCAGTTCGCACCTTCCACTTCTGCTTTGAACAGCAGCAATTTACTGTTAACAGAAACAGAACTAATGCTCGAGAGCTACCAAGGATGAGAATGTAAAAGTTCTTAACTGAAATGCCTCTCAGGTCAACACAAGAAAACTTCTTGTCAAAGACAAATGAAATGCCACTATCCCTGGAACTCTGGAAAAACCTAATTCCATCACTCTGGCCAATTATGAGCAGTAATCTCTGAACATGACAAGGGTTTCTTGCTTTTTTGGCAAGTGTACCAATTGACCAGTCTGTAAGCTCAACTGTGCCAGGTAGTCCCTACTGCCTGTGCCTTCCCATCCTTTCTGTGCGTCCTAACTCACAGTGGGGCTGCTCCAAACACATCATCTGCAGACCTTTTAGCATTCTTGCACTGTAGGTTAAATTTACTCAGAACTGAATAGTAAATAAGCAGCAGATGCATGTACAATGGACCAGCCATGATGGAAAGTGAGAATTATAGATTTTGAGTTACAAAACCCCCAAGTGTTAGAATGTAGAGACCTCACAGTGATTTGGAATCAACATACCAGGGTATTTTAATCTTTAAAATGCGTTATATAGAAGGAAAAGAATGCACATGTAGTTTTACATTGAACTCCTCTAATAGGCAATTCAACAAGAAATGCTTAAAGCATATCATACTGGGTTTCATCAACATTACTGACTTGTTTTGGCACCTCTGAATGTTGTTCTGAAGGCTGTACAGTCAGACTCCTGATGGAACGAATCTTGCTGTGTTTCCTGAGAGAAATCACATTAACAAGTTAAAACCATATAACATTTTTCATGAATAATCAGCAGCAGTCACTTCCTTAACAAACAAAAGCACCAAACATCAGCTTTATAAATGTTTGCCTTGAAACGGATTCGCATTAATTCTTTTTGTAAAATTTAAATGGAGTATGTTTTATATAAACACCATAAAAGAGAATGTAAGGCACTGAAGCAGAAATCTTCCATTACCAGGACATGAGTCATAACACAAACTGGTGCCAGGTTCATTGTACACTTCAGTAGTGACTTTAAACTCACCATGACTCAGAATAATTCAGAGCAAATTGGCACTACAAAGTTGGAAGCCTTCCACTGACAGCTTTCAATTAACAACCACTGGTTAGTTGTGCCAATTAACATTACTTATCTCCCTAATACTCAGGTGTAAATTATTGTTGAAAAAAATCAAATCATTTTCTATTTATGTAGATTAATCATATCCCAAACTAAAGGGCTTAATAGTCAATGAGCCTGAGGGGAAGTTATCTGCCAGTGGGAAACATGGGACAAGCAGTGCTGAAAAGAATCTAATCTATTAACTGAGTTACAAGCCCATAGCAACTACAGCACTTTGATCAGGTATCACAGGCCTGGATGGAGGCTGGTTTGGCCCCTAGTTTAATTTAGAGGAACCTCAGGGTTGCCTGAGCTTGTGCCCGATGATAACTAACCCCTTGGGGCCACCTTGCCAGTGACAGATTGATGAAGCAATGTAAAGAGGATTTTGCATAGGCCAAAGCCAGGGCCCAGCAGTAGAATTAACTGGTAAACACTAATGGTTCCAAATTCTAATTTGAAAAATTTAGATCAGCTCAGGAAACTCTCACCTTTCAAACTGCACTTTCTTGTGTCCTCCTTCTTTAACATAGTCAAGAACCTGCTTCTGAGTCCGGCCACTGGAACAAAACCACACTTAAGTCAACAGTCTTTGGTATTACATTTGTTATTTGTTTATTACAAATAATGAGAGCAGATTTACTATGTGGTTTTTTATTTCTATGGCACAAAGTGATGTACCATCTTTTGTACTGTAAATGCACTGCAAGGAATTTGATTTAACCATATACTGCAGAGGTCAGCAACCTGTGGCTCTCAGTCCATCAGGTAATCCTCTAGCAAGCTGCGACACATATTGCTGACATTGATTTTCTGCAGGCATGGCCACCCCAAAGCTCTCAGTAGTCACAATTCACTGTTCCCAGACAATAGGAGTTATGGGACCTGGTATAGGCAGCAGGGACATGCCAGCCGCTGCTTCCCACAACTCCCACTGTCTGGGAATGGTGTACTGTGGCCACTAGAAGCTGCAAGGGATCATGCCTGCAGATGGTCAACATCAGCAAAACATCTCTCAGCCCGCCAATGGATTACTCTGATGGACCAAGAGCCAAAGTTGCTGGCCCCTGATATAGTCAGTGATAAGCCATTTCATGCATTCCATCGCCCCACCTAATAACTTTGGGGGTGCACTTTAAATGCAGGCATGCTGGTATGCAGTTTTAGACACTGTATCCTATGAATTCATAGTCGACCATATACACAACTATTTCCACTAGACGCATTAACTCAGATTTCAGAAAAGAATGACAGATTTCATTGTACATCTGTGGATAAAATAAACTTGCTTTTTTTTGGCCAAGAAAATACATTCAGAAAGATAAAACACAGACCTTTTTACCACTGTCTAAATTCAATTGTGCCCCCTTTATGCTGAATCATGTTACTGGGAAATTACCAAAGATATTTCAACTCTCCTCTATGAAAAAGTGTTTCAGAAAGTTAAATTTGAGTCTTCCCTCTATTATGAACCATTTCTGCAAGTTAAATTTGAGTCTTCCCTCTATTACTGCTGTCAATAAACATTGTTATTGAATGGAAAATAGTGGAAATGCATTTCAGGCTTCAGCTGTTGATCAGAAAGACATATAATTATAGGTACAAACACTTTTTGCAGATTCAGCCTTACAGGGATTCCAAGCCTTGCTCTTATATTCCATGAAAAGGGAAAGCAATGCCAATCATTTATGCTGTGTATGGACATGAATTCCAGAAGAAAAAGAAACCAACAGAATTTGTACTCAGAAATGCATATCCTGCACCCTAGAGACTCTCTCTCCATACCTCTTAAGAGTTATCAATTGAGTAAATTATAGCAAGGCTTATTGCAACAATAAAGTATTTTTCCTAGAATGAACACAATAGAGATCACAGTGAGGGATCCAGAAACAGCATATGGCTCCTCTCCAAACTATGTGCATGTTTAATCAAATATGTTGAGAATGTCTACAATTTTTTCATTTAGTGTGGCAGTAATTAAATCCAACAATTTAGACTGCAGTTTCTGTCCTCCAGGTCTCTCCATGTCATCTATTTTACTTTTCAGACATAGAAAAGAAAGTTGGAAATGGCAGGAGAGGACATATCAACATGACTGCATGCTTATAAGGCAACCGATATCTCTGATTCGGCAGCATTTTGAACTCACTACGCTCAGGTGTAAATGACCTAAAAATACGCAGCTAGTGACAAATCAGGCCTGATAGGACTCAAACAGCATTACATGGAGATGCTGTGAAGAGTCCATCCTGCAGTGTATATGGGCAGCCGTCATACAAGGGCTTTTTTGTACACTGAGGCCGCATGTGTACTAAAAAAGGTTTGCCAGTACAGTTATACTGACACACAGTTATACTAGCAACCACTCCTAGTGTAAAGTATCAGAGGGGTACCGTGTTAGTCTGAATCTGAAAATGTACATCTGACGAAGTGGGTCTTTGCCCACGAAAGCTTATGCTCCAACACTTCGGTTAGTCTATAAGGTGCCACAGGACTCCTCGTCACTCCTAGTGTAGATTGTATTATATAGGTCAGTGTTTCTCAAAGGGTATGTCTACACAGCAGCATTATTTCAAAATAATGTCAAGCTGGAGGATTTCTTACTCCAACTCTTGTAACCCTCATTTCACAAGGAGTACGGGAAGTCAAAGGAAGAGTGTTCTTCCTTCGACTTCCTGCTGTGTAGACGGCACCAAAAGTTGAGTTAAGCTATTTCAACTTCAGCTATGCAATTGACGTAGCGGAAGTTACGCATCTTAATTCAACTTTTGCCCTGCTGCACAGACATGCCCAAAGTGGGCTATCAGCCCACTTTGAGAAAACCACTAGCAGGCCTGTGCTGCTTTGTTTACTAAAGAGTCAGTAACCACAGAGCCTTTTAGCTCCCATTGGCTCTGGTTCGCTGTTTCTTATATTTTCTTAGGTATTTCTTATTTCCTTATGATTTTGATAAGTTTATTATAACAGGTCACAATAAGTTTATATTAAAGCAGTTTGGCTATAATGCAAGGAATCTACAGTCCATATCCTAGATGCTGAGCTAAGATAAAATAAGCATAGCTACATCCCAGATAAAACAGTTGGCTTATTTACGTCTGGGACCTTTCACCTAGACAGATAGTGAGAATATAAAGCAACCTTTAACAGCACAGAGACTTCCAAATATACCGTGAAACTTAATAGGTACACCTTTACTTGGAAAAACCCAAAGTAACTGGTTAAGATTGGACGAACATAACCAGGTAGGACAGAAATAATAAATGTGATACATAATCACAAAAGGCGCCATGGTAATGAATTAATGTATATGAAAATAAACTGAGATCAATGATATACTGCCCTATAGGAAAAAGATACTTCAGCATTAGTGAGGTAAGTAAATATAAATAAGGAGAAAATACCCCCTACTGAATATGCATCAAACATAACGTTAGCGTAACAGATTATAAAAGTGGCATTGCCGCCTAGGGGCAGTAGGAGAAGGGGATGTAATCCTTTGGACATGCCAGAATGATGGTGACTGGTGATTTGGAAGATGATGGTGATGAGGAAGATGATGTACAACACCTCATGTTGTTTCTAGAAGGAATGATGGGAGTATAAAGAAATACAGATGTACATTCCTTATCTGTCTTGTTAAGCTGGGATGTTTGTAAATGTGCTAAATGTATTAATAAACTACATTTGTAAATATACAAGAGTTTCTACAGTAGGAGTGTTGCAAGTGGGCACATCAGGGTTCCCAGCCATAGAGTAATTTAAATACAGGGCCTGATCCCGGGACAAGAGCCTCTCAATCCTCAAAGTGATAACTTGTGAATTCATAATAATATATATATTTATACATAATCCAAAAATCAGGCAACAAGATCTTATACCAGCAAAAAAGAGTTCGCTTGCTGGTATAATAAGCTTACTTGAATAAAATAAGCTTTAAAGATAAAAGAACTTGTGTGCCAGTATAGCTACATTTATGCTAGAGATTTTACTTATATAAAAATAATTTTGAAACAAATCTTTCTCCCCTAATTGGGGATGTAATATTATAGTTGATTAACCGATAAGCAAAAGCATATAGGTTAATGCTATACACTACATGCATTTCCCCTTCTCCCCCACACACAGTACATTTTTTAGCAGGCTGGTCAGCAGCCCGGTTCAGTTCCAGCTTGCGCTGGGTTCAGGACCTATCCCCAATCAGCTCTGCATTTAAAGTGTATTAGAAGCCAGGTGGGTGGCAGGCAGCCTGGCTTAGTTCCGGGAGTGCCACACCCTTCCTCCACACCCATCCCTGGATAGGGGCTGCTACCTCTGTATCAGAGGCAGCAGTGTAGGGTGGCAGACAGTCCATGAGGGGAGCTGGTTTTTAACTGGCTCCCTTCACAGAACAGTCCCTGCCCGGCACCCCTCGCTGCTGCCTCTGAAAGTAAGTGTGCTCCAGCTCCCCAGGAGTGGGGCTGGAGCACACTGGCTGCCAGCCCCACCACTGGAGACTAGAGAATATTCGACTAACTGATAACAATTCATGCGGTTAATCAAATATTCAAATAGCCGATATTTAACATCTCTACCCTGAATTAACATTAATACACCAGAAAAGTTGTGTGTGGATCTGGTCTGAGGATGAATTCCTATCTTTGTTAACCCCCTTACAGGCATGAAGTGTTCAGTATGCAGAGGAAACACTCCATCTAAATAACACAGGACGCATTTGTCAGGCTTAAGGGTGGCCAGACAAAGAAAATGCACCCCTCTTTAATCTGCAAAGCAGAACTCTCTCCCTGGGAGGATGAAGGGCACTGCTGAAATGTCATAGGAATAACAGAGACAGAATTAGCGGGCTTGTCTGGTGCACAGGTGGATTGTGGGTGCAATGGACACTGTTCGTTTCTTTTACCATAACTTCAATAGCAACTTTGCATCAGTTTGTAAGTAAAATTTAGGCTTTTATTCCACAGCTTTCCCAGATATTACTCTCACTGACCAGGGGGGTCTAGCAATCACAAAGCATCAGTTTGCAACAACAAAGACAAGATTTTGGATTACAATAAGGACAATGTGATTTTAATGGGGGAGAAGAATAACGACAGGAGACAGAAAGGGGAAAATAGGTCTTACCTGAACCTAAATGATGAACCTCTAGTAAAAAGAATAGGTTTAGGCTTTGGTTTGGGCTCCTCAAAGAGTCTGAAAAAGGCATGGTGTTCTACACAGATCTTCCAGAAAGACTTGCAAAAATCCCGACTCGCCATCAGGAATTCCAAGGTGTCCTGGAATGAACTCTAAAATATATAACAGCAACAACAACACGTGTGACAAATGAGAAAGCAACGCATTGGGCATATACAGTAATGCTATGCTGTAAATTCTTTCTATAGACTCCCCGGTCTCCTTGCCTAAGGAACCCTCCCCCATTCATCCTAAGAACCTCCTACATACTCTTTGCAGGACTAACAAAGAGCAATTCCACACAATTTACCCCATTGCCTCATGTAACAGACCTAAGACAAGGCTCCTCAAATTATTGTAAGAATGCAGTACATTAAATCAGAATAGCCTGTGTTTTTTCTTCATTCTAGTTTATATCTCCACTCACTGACACTTTACCATCCTGTATGGCATCCAGCCAGGAAAGAACAAACAAACTTTACTGAATGGCAGCAGCCTACCTATTTCTTTGAAGCCCAGTTTTTGATAAGACAAACTGCAGTAGCTTTTCTGAACTGTCATTTTAAAATAAATGTTTTTGGGAAGCCCTTGAAGTAGTTTAACACATCCTTTCCCTTTCCTGAGAAGCATTTATTCATTTCTGCTCCCCTATTCCTGCTTTAAATCCTTTCATTTGTGCCCTATTAGAATACCAGCAGTAGGATAGATCTGAGAACTAAGAAAGTCCATCTGTAATAAATATAGCTTGCGAATGGGGAGCTGCTGACTGTTCACTCTCAGGACCAAGGCAAAACACTCCATCTTAGGAAACTGAAGATCACAATTGCATATCACAGCAGAGATGCGTAGTGTCATGGTTAAACATCACTATCTCATCCATTCGATGTTAATTATTTAGTGTGTGTACTACGCAAAGTTCACGAGCTTTAACAGGAAGTTTCATCTAATCAGCATGACATTGAGACAAATATTTTAAAACATAGAGTGACAACCATGAAAATATTTGATATCTCATGGATATTCAGTGCTTGGCTTCTCTGCTAAGTCTACCCAAGGTTAAGTCAATATTAAGATGGACATGAGAGAAAATGTTATCTAAGCAGTAGGCTCACAGGTAAGTGTAAATGAGCAATTAAAAAAAATCCCATTGATTACAAGCCAGGTAACGCCAACACCTTCTGCATCTAGGAATTTACCAGACTTCCTTGCCTCAAATTTCTTTGAAGCATATCAAGGACTTACATTCACATCAGGTCGTAGCTTGATAAGAAAACGCTTCCGCTTGAAGCTCAGCTTTCGAACCTTAGCCCAGTTGAAGGCATTGATCTTGGTGTGACCCTAACAATGGAAAACCAAGTGAAGTGATGTTACCGATGCCTAAGGGAAGAGTTTAAGCATTCCAAACATGTAACTATAAGGTAAATTTGGCAGCTACCAATAATACTTTTGCATAATCACTGTTTAAAATGTATTTACTTGAAATGGTGCTATTACTGATTGTTTAGGCTTCAATCCTATACAAATTTACACACATTCCCAACTTAGAAACATAAGTAATTCCACTGAACTCAAGTACTTAATGTTAAGAAGTGAGTAAATTATTAGAGGATCAGATGCCTTATACTGCAGTAATGACTACAGACCACAATGAGGATCAATGTTGTAGTCTAACCCAGCCTGCTTAGCTTGCACTTTTATTAACTGTTTGACTGTATGAGTTATCAAAGAATCTTAAATTGCTGCATTCCTTACACATTGCAAGAACTTTTTTTTTAAACTGATCATAATATTAGCATCACTGAAAAGTTCTCCTCTTTCTGGAAAAAATGCAGAAGTGGTGTAATGGTGGTATTAATCTTTAACATATATAGGGATAGAAGTAAAAGGAAATAATATAAATTATTTAACACTGTTGATCTGATGAGCCAGAAAATGCCTTTTAACAGTGCTCAGGAGCCATGAGTAATGCTATGAAAGGCTTTGCGTACATTTAGAGATTGCACCATTTGAGCAGAACAATGTTTTCTAATTAACCTATGCTAACATTAGAGGAATATTTAACACACCTGAAGCATTTCAGCTTAAAAATAAAAGCTTCATTATTGATATCCTTATATACCTGCTTTGGAATATCTCATGGTTATAAAAGCAGCTGCTTCTATTGGATTCCTATAATGTATAGAACCATGGTTTTTTGGAATTCCCACATCAAATAAATATACAAGCACTGACACTGCGATGATGTTTGTTCGATCAGACTGTCCTCTAAGAAAGTTATATTAATGTCATAACCATCTCTGCTAAGAAATGCAACAGCATAGCAGACGGTTTCTAAAAAAACCAACCTAGTAAAAATAAACATTTGCAATCAGCATTTATGTGATTTGTGAATTAACTTTTATTTTTCTTTTAAACATTTTAAAAAATCATTACAGTTTATTTTGCTCACCTACAACATCAATAAAGGAGAAATTCAGAGCTAGTCCAACAAAGGAAACTACCCATATGAATGCTTGTGCCAAGGAATCAGGTGGACTACAGCGAGTCTGGGTTGACTGTAATGGGTAAACGTCTGCACAGAAAGATTCTTTTGCATCTCTCTTGAAATAAGGGATAAGGGATCTTTTCGAAAAGGCTTTATTTTTCGAAAGATGAGCGTCTAGACTGGCGCTTTTCTCCGACAAAGCTCCGTGCCGAAAAAAAGTGGCAGCCATTTTTATGCTAATGAAGCGCAGGAGATTTAAATCCCCGCTTCATTAGCAATTGCGATACATCTAATTTACATCCCTTTTCTGAAAAAGGGATGTAGTCTAGACGTAGCCTTAAAGATTAAACCCATGATCAGAACAGCTCTAACCTGAAATACTAGAATGCCTGTGTTGGCAACTGCCAGGTTGATCTTCGTCCCTTCCCTGTCCTTCGCTGGATGCAACCGGATTCCATACATCTCCAAACGACGGGCAATCTCTAGTAGCTGGAAATCTGATTCTGCTGGTGTCTGTCCACTTGAGAAACAAAAATTTTTAAAAAAAGGCAAGAGATTTGAATTCTCCATATTTATTACATTGGGATCAAATTACTTCTATAAGGAGCAAAAAGCGATTTTATCATGGAAACTGATTCCTATTCACTAGACAGTATGCATATGGCAATATCTCTAGCAGCTAAGACAAGAGCTCTGCCCTCAAAGACCAAGATTTTTAAGAGCAAACAGTGATTTGCTCAGTTTTTGTGGCCCAACTTGAGACTCTTCAAAGAAGCCTGATTTTTTTTAAAAGTGCTAAGCCTCCATTTTCTGAAAATCAGGCCCATTTATGGTATCTCTGGTTAGACACTCAAAAACCGAGATACCCAAAATCAGAGTCACTTATAAATGTAATGACTACCTCAAACAGAGCCCATGTCTTCACGAGGATCTACTTACCTCTGTTTCTATACTGATATACCATGTCAACAATGCATTCCTAGCACTCTTCCTGAGTAAAACAAGCTATACTAGTAAAAGCAGCACTTTGCTGGAATTGCTGTCTCTACACTAGAGACGTCTGCTGGCAAAGGTATGTCAGTCAACTAATCACACCCTTAACTGACAAAGGTATGATGGTGGAATTCCATACCATAGAGCCAGAATTTTAGAAAGCCTCCTTTAGATGCAGAAATAAAATGGACTATGACCACTCTTCACCTAAAATACAATTAAGCAAGGAAGCAGAGATCTGAGCATCAGCGTTTTAGCAATTACAACACTGCTATATTCTCTAAAATAAAAGAATATATTACTATTAAAATGTTTTAATTTTAATCACATGTTCCTTGTGGATGAACTAAGAGGTTCCCTGCCACAGGCATATCAACTTTAAAGCACGAACACAGATGCTTTTTCAATGAAAAATTATAATATTGTGGGATGACCCAAAAACAATTGTGCATGCAAAGCACATTTATTGCGTGTATCTTTAACCATGAAGTCTAACAGAATTTTATATACATTATTCCAATGGAAGAGTAAATTATGTGGCTTAATGGACTCATCAAAATGAAAAGATTTTATGAATGTTGCCTGCTCTATAACAGGTTAAGATAAAGGGAATGTGCACATAAATAAGATGAAAGATATCGAAGGCAGTAAAGGTATATTTTCAGCTTCACAAATGTTAAATTCTTCATATTAAAAATCATACTGTCCTGATTAACATAATTGCTGCTACAGAAGCCAAAACCAATAAACCCTAAACTTTACTTAGTTCAAAATACAATGGCTTGACTCCCAAATCTTTCTTAGAAGCAGAAACATCCAGGACACTGCTCCTAACTGATCCTCTGTCTCTTAACTCTCTTCCAAGACCCATCTCTTCTCAACTATCTATTCAGAGAACCTCTCACACTCTCCCAGGCTCACGAACTTCCCCCAAAATTTGTCTTTTGAGTCCTTTGTCACCTATCTATGGCAGTGAAAGAAATACTGAATGACCTTAACTTAAATGAGACTTCTGGCACAAATACCCACAGGACCACTAGCATCATTTACAATTGTATTTGCATGCACAAAATTGACAATGGAACCTTTGTGACACAGGCTGTCTAAAATAATTGAATGCTAGAAAGAAAATCAAAATCAACTGATGTTCCTTAAACATCTTGTACATTGATCTCAGAGGGCAAAAAGTAAACCTAATGCATACGCCTTTATAGCTAACGCTCAATCTGAAAATTATATTGAAGGAAAGTTAAAAAAAAATGGAACTTACATATGATTGCGGTGAAATTCCATGATTTTGTCTTCTAGTGTTTCTTGTTGAGGTATATATTTGTTCTTTGCTAAGTGTTCACGGTCTATGGTTTCATCAAAATCCCCAGTCTCAGCTAGAGAGATACAGAAAAATCAAAACCCTGTATTTAATATATATTATTCAGATAACGCAAAAGACAGAGTAATTAAAGTATGTTTGTCCAAAACTGAAACATGGTTTCACAACTCATTTTCATTATTATATGTTTCACATATTCCCTATGGGTACGTCTACACAGCAGTCTTATTTCGGAATAACTAATGTTATTCCGAAATAACAGTGCGCATCTACACAGCAAACCATTATTTTGAAATAATTTTGAGACGGAGGACTTATTTTACTCTGACTCCTGTAACCTTCATTTTATGAGGAGTAAGGGAAGTCAGAAGAAGAGTGTTCTTCCTTTGACCTCCTGCTGTGTAGACAGCACCAAAAGCCGAATTAAGTTATTTTGACTTAAGCTACCCAATTGACATATCTGAAGTTGCATAGCTTAATTCAACTTAAGTCCTGCTGCATAGATGTACCCTCTTACCTTACAGATAACTGAAACAATGAAAAGTTACCCATGAGTAAAGGTTCTCCCTTAATCCACAACCCAAGAAGTAGATTTTAAAAAATCAGCCTAACAAATGAAATTATTTAAAATGTGTATTGATTTGGCAATGTGATAACGGTTGGTGGAGAGATTTCAATTTGCTGATGAATATTTCACTAGAGCAGATCAGCTTCTGTCAAGCTCATTGTGGACTCAACAGAATGGCTGTGTCTACATTGGCCCCTATTCCGTAATAGGGATGCAAATGTAGCACTTTGGAATAGGCAAATCCGCGGGGGATTTAAATATCCCCCGCGGCATTTGCATTAACATGGCTGCCGCTTTTTTCCGGATGTAGATAAGCCGGAGAAAAGCGCCAGTCTGGACGCGATCCTCCGGAAAATAAGCTCTTTTCCGGAGGATCTCTTATTCCTACTTGTTAATGAAAACTTGTTACTGTGTTAATGCAAATGCCGCGGGGGATATTTAAATCCCCCGCGGATTTGCCTATTCCAAAGTGCTACATTTGCATCCCTATTACGGAATAGGGGCAATGTAGACACAGCCAATAACTTTCCTCTAGAACAACAAATGTACGTTTCTTTCCCTCATCTCCACCCCTGAAGTGTTATGCAATGATACCGTATGGCAAAATTAATATTTTGTTTCTGTCAGCAGAGCTTAATAATACTGTAAATCATTTCTAAGATTAAAGTTGCCACCAACTGCTGCAACTGTTGTAATTAGCAGTGGATATTTATGGCAACCTAGATATAGTATTCAGATACAATATTTAATAGCATGTTGCCTGCTACTCTACCATACGTTATTTACATATTTCCAAAAACACTGCAATTGGTTTCTTTGTAAAATGATATCCCCTCTGCCTGTTATCATCCCAAAGTACTAGGCACAGTAGTGCAATGAACTGAAGACCCTTACTAATCTTTGTCCACCCCTTTGTGACAGATCAGTAAGACACCCTAATATCCAGGCTATATAGCTTTAGACATTTTTTATACATAACCATAAAGAGGCCAAATTAAAATCCAGGGATCATATGCAGACATTGAATAAATTCTACAACTTTTACATCTGAAAAGAATTAATATACAGATGTGTTAGAAGATCATGCTATCTGTTCTGTCCACTCCTAGCTACTCTACCCCTTGACTACTGCAAGCTTTAAACCTGAGAATCCTACTGTGTAAAAAGTCCACTGTCCCATATCACTAATTCCTCTTTCACTAATACCACACCTAAATTGTGGGTGCTACAGATTAGGGATGTAATAGTGTAGTCGATTAACCGATATGCAAAAGCTTATAGGTTAATTCTATAGACTACACACATTTCCTCCCCTACCCCTCAAATTTTTTAGCAGACTGACCAGCAGCCCGGATCAGTCCTGGCTTGTGCCGGGTCTGGGACCTATCCCTGCTGCAGCTCTATATTTAAAGTGTATTGGGAGCCAGGCAGGCAGGCAGCCCAGCTCAGTTCCAGCTAGTGCCGGATCCAGGAGCTCAGAACCCACCCCCAGACAGGGGCTGCTGCCACCCCACACAACTGCCTCTGCACCAGAGACACGCTGGCAACAGGCAGCAGATCCGCAAGCGGAGCTATTTTTTAAATTGGCTTCTATTGAGAACCAGCTCCCGTCTGGCACCCCATGCTGCTGCCGCCTCTGATACAAAGGGGGCTCCTACTTGATAAGAATTCATGGAGTTAATTGACTATTCAATTAACCAATATTTAAGATCCCTATTGCAGGTGGAACTGAACCTGGGACCTCTGGAGCTTGGTGCATGAGCCTTTACAGCTTTAGCTAAAGGCCAGGTGGCTCTCAGCTAAGCATGTAGAGCACAGTCATCTTTCTATCAGCAAGTGGTCTAAGTGCCACTACATTGAACAGTACACCACACCCAGAAGGTGTGTAGGTTACAATAGCACCACAATGCAGATGCTTACAGCTCCTATAGCAATAGAAGGAATTTTTGCATCACTATAGGCAATCCACTATGTTGATGGAAGTATTCTTTCTGTTGACCTATCTGCATCTACACTAGGGCTTAATGTCAGTGTAACTACCTTGGTCAGCACCAGTTATATAGTTATGCTGATCAACATTGTAAGTGTAGATCATGGCTCAGATTTCTACTTTGTCCCCAAGGTCAGAAATCTTGAGTCATCCTTGACTTTGAACTTTAGAAAGGTGACTGCCTATCACTATCTTCATGATATCATGACATTTTGTAATTAAGTTGGACTCAGGCTCTGCTGAAAGTATTATTCACATGTTACTCATCTTTCATGCAAGTTCTAACACTCTACTTTCTTTAAACTTGAAGAGACCAAAAATATTTCAGGCAGTCTGTTCTCTCCTTGCAGCAATAAAATTTCTGCCACTTTCACTGCATATACTACCCCCAAATCCATTTCAAATCACCCATTAAGCTTCCAAAACTCACAAGGACTTGCACTCTCAAACCTTGTATCCACCTACTTCTCCTTCTACTTCTCAATCTTCTACTTCTATCTAATGCCAGGTCCACACTATGGCACAATTATAGCTATGTAAAAAATGTAGCTGAAGTCAGCTTACCGTAAGCCAAGTTTTGGCACCATCCTCACAGTGGGAGGTTGATGGGAGAAATGCTCCCGTTGACTTCCTTTACTTCTCACAAGGAGTAGGAGTACTGGCATTGACAGGGTCTTTACTAGATCCACTAGATCCACTTTACTAGATCCACTAGATCCATGTGGATCCTCCGGTAAGTGGACACGTGGCCTAAGACCTTTTTCTAGTATTTCTCCACAGATAAGACTACACTTTCTGGAGTCTGCCTTCCCTCTGCACCATTCCCACTTTTATTATTTTATCTTAAAAATTGCCTGTTCATTTTAGACAAAGATTGATTTTAATCATGCCTCACTTTTTTCTTTCCACATTAATGCATGTCTCCATTCTCCCCTTGCTATATTTAGCCTGAAGGAGTACTCCTACCTAAGGATGTTAAGTATCGGGTAATTGACTAATTGAATAGTCGATAAGGCATATTGAAGTGGGCTGTTGCCAGCTGATCATGGGCTCTGCACAGTGCTGCCACTTTGAAATGCCACGAGGAGCCTAACCTAATGCTGAGCTCCCGTCGGTGTTTCAAAGTGGCAGCCCTATGTGGAGCCTGGGATCAGCTGGGAAGTCCCAGCTGATCCTGGGCTCCACATAGGGCTGCCGCTTTGAAACACTGTGTTCAGCCCCGGGCTGCAAGCGGCTTTTCAAAGCGGCAGCACTGCGTGGAGCTTGGGGTCTGGCCTAAGGCTTCAAGCAGTGCTGCTGCTTTGAAGTATCCCCTCTTCCCCCCTCCCTTGCTGCCTCTATCTAATAGAGATGGAGCAGATAAAAAAGTCAACTAATCAACTATCTAATAGAGGCAGCAAGGAGGAAAGCAACTAGTTGACTATCTTGTCAACTAGTCCTTCACATCCCTACCTCTACCATCTCTGTTTCAGCTCTTTTCTTTTTACCTGCTCCATCTTTTTACCTCATGTTTTTCCCTTTCTGCAGGACTACAAGTACCAAAGCATGGGCAGCATCTTCTGTTCACGTACACTTTCTATAGTGTGTTTGAGATATTTATGTAGCAACTTTCCTATGAAATAAACTGTTTTGTAATATACATGTTAATTTTAATACAAACCACTTGCTGCTCTTACAATAGATTAATATATTAAGAACAGGCTGTAATATCAGTGAAGATCCTGCCAGAGATACACTTATGACAAAGGGTCTCCTGGAAACATACACCCATCATGCACAGACCAGTTGTGCAGTGGTGGATTCACACAGCATGATAATATAGCAACATTTTTCACCTCTTGCTTCCCTGCTCTTTCTACTTTTATCATTGCTATCAGCCACTTCTGGTTTTATTTTTATTCAGAAAAATACATCAAATAAATTTTTAGTCAATGAATCAATGTCTGAGACAATGTCTGAGCAATACAGCATGGACACTGATGTGTCTTACTGATCCTTTCACAAAGGGGTACACTCAGATCAGTAAGAGCCTTCAGTATGGAGTAAAGCAGATGAGATCCCATTATAGGAACTGGCAGGGCCAATTCTCACAGAAAAGTACATTTCAGGAGACACAAGATACTTTCAGTAAGAACAATAGTCCTAGGAAGGATTTCTACCACAACAAATTTGGAAAAAGCTGCAGTTACAGTTGGGAGATGAGATAATTATACAGAATTCTGGTCACTTGTAGATGGGAACAGAAAATATTGAACTCTAGTACATTAGAAATAATATGCAAGTATAATATTAAATCTGTTTTAAGGGTTCATAAAAATCAGACTCCTATGTGTTACTTCCAAACAGACAGATCCTGGACTAGGGCAACAGAAATAAAACCCACTCAATCTCTACCAGTTTAAGAGAACAAAACAGAAATAAAACCCACACACTCAATCTCTACCAGTTTAAGAGAACACATCCAATTCTGGAATCTCATTCCCTCACTGACTCTTTC